TCTTGAAATTGGATGGTGTAAATAATATGTTGTAAAATGCACTATTTCTGAGACTTAAAATCTTTTTATTTTTCATAGTCATACATCTCGATGTCGAGATGATCAAACAAAGGGTTTTTCAACATTAAAACTACCTTTTCCAATGGATTTTTGAGGGGCATCCGTAGTTCTACATTATAAGGTAGCATCCTTATATATACTTTTTCCATGTTTTAATCTGATAGACATTTTCAAGATTTTGACTGTACACTGGTCACAAGACTAGGTGACATAGTCACACTAAGCTATTTCCACTTCTTTTGAGAAAAGGATGACTAAGTTGTTTCCCATTTTCAACATGTGTTTTGTAGGGGTGGAAAGATTTTGGCCAGAGCTCCGAAAGTCCATGAAGAAATGGATTCTTGAAATGAGGGGAAAACAAGGATACTTTGTAAGGGAAAAGGCCAAAAGTCATGTGGACTAGGCTACTGCACCATCCAAATGGAAAAGATGAACCATCACTATAAAGAAAAATAACGTATAAACCTAGCTTGTGTTTCCTAAACATATTTCCCAAGAATAGCAAAAGAGAACTCAAGGACTTTTAGGGCAGCTCTTAAGGGCTAATCTCAAGCAAGGTATAGTTTCCACTCGATATTATCATGGAGAACTCCATTAGTAAGGTAAAAAGAGAAAAAAGGCCGGACTACTTCTGAGCAGCTTTATATGGACCATAGGATCTACTTACATTATGCACAATAGACTCTAGTTTATTGCAACATGATATCTTAGAGAGTGATTGACATAACTTCAATTGGATGAAATGAGAGAAGCATATAAGATTGGAAAAGCACTCCATAAAGGTCTAGACTCTAGGAGCACCTATCCAGCAGCTTAAAGGAGAAGGCTAGTCAAGCAATATGATTTAGCGAAAACACTAAAGAAAGGAGGAAAACTCTATCGCTGATTCTCTTGCTTGCTTTGATGTGGGTTGAGAACTAAAGTTAATACTTTATTAGAATATCTCAATGTCTATGCCCCACAGTCATAGTTTCATCCGGTTATGCACTTTTGTTAGTTCTTTCTTTATTCCTTTTGTTCTTTTCTGTTGCTTGTACTTGTTTTATTTGAAGCACATGCAACATATAAACTATCTGGGTTATACTTAATCAAAATCAGTTCCTCAAACAAAAAATAGGACCATCCAACATCATGTCAAGCTGTAAGAAAGAGAAAATTTATAGTAAAAGCACGAACAAAAGCAACAATAACTGTCAGCACAGTGACGACAAATAACTAGGCGTCCACCAGCTTGAGATAAACATACTGAAACTCAACATGAATACATTATAGGTTTCTTTGGAGAAAGGTCATTTTCAGAAGATATTGAGTTATAAATAGATAAGTAAATGAACAGGCAATGCTATTATAACGGGATTTTCATCTTCCTACCACATGCTTGGATTTCTAAAATTTAGTATTAATGGCCAGTTTTAATATTAAAAAGAATTCTACAAATAGCAACTTTTTATACATGAAGTCACAATCCAACAAGGTTTTCAAACTTATGCAACTCATCAAACTGCTTCGAAAAAGCACAAAGCTACATTAACCAGTGTCTTTACTCGAGATAAATTAAAACAGTTCAAAGAGCCAATAATGATACATAAATTTAGAAAACAAATACCATAATTACTATTGGGAAAACCATCCAAACACATGCACCCTATCAAAAGGGATACCACAATCCTATAGCATGCAATTCACTTAATCGCCTGAATTCAAGAATCACCCTTGAGTAGACAATGTATGTTTCATTTTTTTAACCTTTCACTACTTCAGATGTTACTCTTTTTCTCTTTTGTGTGTCTTTTCCTCCTTGCAATGTTTTCATTTTTTTTTTTTAACAAAATAAAATGAATCATAATTGCAAAACAATTCCAGCACTTCTATAAACTCAATATTCCAAATCCCAAACCCACTACATCTATGTGACATGACCTGTTGTTTTTTCAGAGCATGTGACATGATTTATTGTTATAAACAGAGAAGTGCCAAAGTTACAAATTGCATGTCTTAACATCATCCTCAAGGATGAAACACTCTCTCTCTCTCTCTGACTCCCTCTCTCCCCCCACCCACGTCTCTCTCTCCCCAATCCAAAATCCCAGAACAATTACCATTTCACCAACCAAAATCCCACAACAATTACTAGTTCGTGATACCATGTCCCACACCCTATAAACCTCTCCAAAACAATCCTGAAAAAGTTCACAAACCACAAAATTTAAACCCTAAAATTGCACATCTTAAATCCCAGCCCCAGATTCCAATTCCCAAACACTCCCGTGAAGACACTTTAATTCCAAGCTCATAACAAAAGCTCTCATACTCCAAACAGTAAGAATAAGAGTAAACCCTAAATCCAAATCCCCAAATTCAACATCCATGAAGAACACTACCAAACTACCAAAAAAGGAACAATTTTTTAATAACTCACTGTACCTTGAGGTTCATCCGAATATCAATCTTCATTTGCTCATACACAGGAGTGTAAATTTCCATCCATGCTTTCTTCAAAGGAGTGAACCTATGTGCAGGCACCGAAACCTTCCGACACTGAACCCTCCCATCGCTCATCTCATGGGCCTTTAAGGATTCGAACTTCGGCCTGGTTTGAGCTTGGGCCTGGTTGACCGCCATGGATTCTGGAGCTTCAGAGCCTTGCATGCCTGAAAGCCCCCACAAACAATGAACCTTCAGGCACAACAACCCTAAAAATTGCAAAGCGTTGAAGCCTAAGGAGAAAGGAGTTTCAGGTCTCAAGAATCTGGGAAAAGCTTGCCCATTTTATACCGGGCGCGGTTTCTATGCGGCCTGTCCGCATGTTGCAGAAATGCGGGCTTGGCAATAAATATATTTTTTAAATATAATTTAATTTTAATGTTTAGAGAATATATAATTTTTAATATGGAGATCATGAATATAATTTTTTTTAAAAAATAAAAATAAAAATTATATTAAGACAATATTTGGATATTAGTTACACTTGTTTTTAGATGGGACACCTATTTGCATTCATCTTGAAAGGTTGATGCTTTATACCTCTAGATCACGTATCGTAGAAATACGGTTTAGCCCGTATTAAACGTTTTTTGTATACAAATCAAAATTTTAAAATGTTTACTTCTCAATGCAAAATGACATAAAAAAAAAAGAAAAAAAAAGACTAATACACCATTGTATAAAAGGGAAAAGTTTATATAAAATATCCACCTTGTATTCTAGAAGTATGGTGCACTTCAAAAACCTAAAAAAAATTGATTTGACACTACAAAACGTTTCAATTAATCATCTCAATCTCAAGATTTATGGATATGAAAAAACATTGATTTTAAGTCCTGAAAATAATAGATCTTGTAACACATTATCTAGACTAATCATTTTCAAGATTTTCAAATACTTATAGATTTACTCAATTTGTACTTTTTTTTAGAACAACAAATTTCATGAATGGGGATAAAAACAAATTATTAGGCCATCACAAGGGCTTCCAACATAAAACCATATCTCTTGGCACAATTTGGAGGCACGCCTTACTTTGATTGTTTATATTGACACCTCATACAAACTGCACCCTATATGAAAGGACACGGTTTCTATATAGCCAGTAGGCATAATGTAGAAATGCAGGCTTGACAATAAATATATTTTTAAATATAATTTGATCTTAATTTTTAAGGAATATATAATCTTTAATATGGAGATCATGAATATGAAAAAATAAAATAAATAATTTGAAAAATAAAAATAATAATTATATTAAAAAAATATTTGGACTGGTAGTTACACTTGTTCTAAGATAGACCACCTATTTGCTTCCATCTTGAAGATAGATGCTTTATACTGCTGTGGTGTGGTTGGCCGAAGCATGACTCTCCGCCCACTAGTGTAGGGTTACCTGTGTGCTAGGACCCTGTTGGTTTTGATAGGTACCTTTTGTTGGCTGCCTGAGCCGGGTCCGGAGTTACTGTCGGCCAGTTGATTAATGGATTCTTCAGAAACAAAATCTTAGTCATCATCAGAGGTTAATAGAACTTGACAGAGTTGCCTTTTAAGGCCCTCATTAATGTTTAAGTTATTTATCTTTCTTTTGGTTCTACATTTATTAGCATAATGCCCAAATTTACTACATTTTCTACAGATGCTAGGTTTCCTTTTATTCCTTGGAGAATTATTCCTGGGAGATTTTTCCTTATTATCTTCCTCAACCTTTTTCTTATTTAGAAAAATTTTTCCAATTCTTTTAGATTTTCTCTTGTATGAATTTAAAAATCCTTTCTTATCAGCTTGGGATTTGTGGGGTTTTGTTTTTATGAATTCAAAACCAAATTGTTCACAGAAATCACCTAACTCATTTCTTCTTGTTTCCTTTTGTTTTTCTAATTGTTTCTTGAGTTTAAGGTCTGTATATATTTCTAAGCCTGTAGCACAAATTTCTGCAGACAGTTCACCTAGAGTATAGAGATCATAATTCAACTCACCATTATTTTTAGCTTTTAGCTTGTTTTTAACTTTCTCAACAAATAACCTAGGAACCCAACTATAAATTGTCCTTTCCAATAACTAGCTCTACAATCTTTAACTGTAAGGAGTCTGGACGTAAATGTATATGTATACCATTTATAATAGGAAAGTGTAGGACATCTAAGGTTTAGCAAGAGGTCAGACTGTCTTTGAGTCAGTATACTTGTATTCCCTATAACATGAAGGGCAATAGTATATAACATGAAGGCAATAGTATATAACATGAAGGGCAATCGTATATAACATGAAGGGCAATAGTATATAACTTCATCAAAAAAATTTGAACTTACAGGCTGTAATCTAAACCTGTTTTTAGGTAGTTCAAGTGAGGGTTTAAAGACTAATGGAGCAGTAGGTTTTATGGAAGAGGGTATTACTTTTGAAGATGAAGGTTTATCTTCCATGGTATCTAGTTTAGATACTAAATCTTCTATTATGTTGGTTTGCTCTCCTTTGGATTTGAGATAGATATTAATATAATTATTTTTTTCTATAATTGATTTAAATCCTTCCATATTAAGATAATCAGAAGTTTTTTTATATGGGACATCAGTGATTTCCTTAACATTCAATATAATATCGTCTGGAGGATGCCTAGATTTTATTTCTCCTTTAGAAGTTTTATAAGAATTATATTGAGAATTTAACGTATTATTATCTAGAGATTTTTTGACATATTTATTTCTTATATATTCAAATGGAAATGTTTGTTTATGTTGTTTGACAAAAATTTCTCCAAACCATCTAAAAAAGAACATGTTTCCTTTAGCTTTATTCATAGCCTCAACATATTTTTCTTTTATATATTGACGAGATCTATCAGTTCCTTTATTAAGAAATCATTCTCTGATATCTCTATTACGATCAGAATTAAAATCAACTTCAATTTTTTTTATAATTAATTTGAAATGTGTTAATTTCTATAACATTAATTTGAGGATCGTATTTCACATCAGAAAAAGTTGGTTCAAGTGAAGTGGGTGTGGAATTGTCAGTCTTTGGAATTTCAATATTATAAATAGGTTGTTGTATTTCATCAAGTCTCCTTAACTCCTGTAACATTAATATGTTAATGCTCATACTCCATATTTGGAATAGAGGAAGTAGAACTTCTAGCAGGAATTCTAAAGCTCTGTGAGGCTATATGAATTCTAGCACTTCTTTGAAGATTGAATTAAATTTGGACTTCCCCATTTGGGAATTCAACTATAAAGTTGACATTAGAATTTTGCACAAGTCTAGAAGGAGTTTCATTTTGTAGATTCCACTGTGCTGGTAAGTTAACTTGGTTCCAAGTTATAGTCTTAGGAACATTAAATTTGATTTGTCAACATTAGTTTGGAAATATACCCCTTTTATCCATTTTCTTGACATCAAGGCAAATTGTTTTCATAACCTTATAACATATACGATAAATTATAACAATATTTTGCGAGCCAAATTCCATATCAAACCCTTGAGTTTTAAGTTTTAGAGTTAAAACCTTTAAAAGGTTGGGATCAGTTAAAGAAATTGAGAAATTAGGATAACAATTGAAGTATATTGGGCCTTTACAAAGGCTAGATTCCACAATTCCTAATAAGGAATCATAAAAGTTTATATGTCTAATATCTCCAAAGCAGATAAGAACAAAATTATTTAGTCCAGTGCGAGTTAAAGGTTTAACAACAATTTTGACTAACCCTATATGTAAGTAGTCGTATCCTTTCTTTCTATGTTCTTCTAATATGTCTTTATGATAGTAGGGAAAAAGTATCTTGTGATTCAAGGATGGAAATGGTTTTTTCTACTGTTTTTATAGCATAATCACTTTTAAAATGAAATGATACTTTTCTATATATTTCACAAATTGGGACCTTATGATTGTTCCAATTTTATATACTTTTTTCTATATTGGAAATAACAATTTCTTCAGTATTTTTAATATTACTAGAGCTGGAAGAACTAGCTTCATTACTTAAAGTTTGAGATCTGCTCCTAAATAGACTAGCCATTGAGTCAATAATGCAGTTAACCTTTTCCTGTTTAACAATTAATGGGATAAATGCACTGGCGTCTCTTATACGCGTACGTGCTCAACCACGATTTAGGGTTTCACAGGATTGGGCATACTATCACTTACGACTTTAATTGCTGGCTTACTTTAGTTAAGATCAAACTTTAAGTAATAAATTAGTAACTTGGCTCTGATACCACTTATGTAATGGGGAGATACAGATGTAATAAACTTTAAGCTACAGTTTCTTTAAGTTTTGTAAAACTATATATATATATATATAGCTTGAAAGAGTTTTTAAGCATTAAACCTGTGGAACCCTAAGCAAGCTGTTATTGTTCAAACTTTAAGCAATAAACTAATGCCAAAAATCGGATTTTAGTTTGAAGCAATTTAATCTTTTTGGCTGAGACTACCAAAAATCGGATAAAAACTGTTGAAAAAACTATTTCTATCGTAGAATCCCAGGCTACCTTTTCTCTTTTATCTAAAGATAGATTAGAGGATCATAAAAAGAAAAGATATAACTAGTTGCATATAGGATTAGTCCAAATTGTTGTTAAACCTTTAACTCGCACTGGACTAAATAATTTTGTTCTTATCTGCTTGGGAGATATTAGACATAGAAACTTTTATGATTCCTTATTAGGAATTGTTGAATCTAGCCTTTGTGAAGGCCCAATTTACTTCAATTGCTATCACAATTTCTCCGTTTCTTTAATTGATCCCAATATTTTAGAGGCTTTAACCTTAAACCCTAAACTCAAGGGTTTGATATGGAATTTGGCTCACAAAACATTGCTACAATTTATCGTATTTGGTATAAGATTATGAATACAATATGCCCTGATGTTACAAAAATGGATAAGATGGGCCAAACTATATATTTTTAAACTAATGTTGAAAAATGAAATCTAATTGTCCCTAAGACTATAACATAGAATCAAGCTAATCTACCTGCACAGTGGAATTTACAAAATGAAACTCCTTCTAGACCAGTGCAAAATTCTAATGTCAACTCTATAGTTGAATTCCCTAATGGAGATGTCCAAATTCAATTCAACCCTCAAATGAGTGTTAGAATTCATATAGCCTCGCAAAGTCCTAGAATTCATGCTAGACGTTCTACTTCTTCTATTCCTAATACGGAATATGAGCACCAACATATTAATGCTATGTTACAAGAACTAAGAAGGGTTGGAGAAATACAACAACCCATTTATA